TGGTGAAAGATTAATATCGAATTAGGATTTGATTTCTCTCTTATTTCAGAACAAAATATTTTTTTTCGACATTACTTACTAGCAAATTATTAGCATTCAATGAAGGTTTAATATGAATGACAACAAGGGAATGAAAAACCGGGTAGGTACTTTACAAAATATATTATACTCCTTTTGATTTCTATACAATTTTACATTTTTACAAGTTTCCACAAAAATATATACATGAAGAATCAAGTAATTGGAAGTAAAGATCCCTACGTATTTATCACCCAATAAATTAGTTCAGTCACATTGGTATCGGAAGTAATCTGAAACGGAAGTTGATACTGAAAAACAAGTGATTATACCAACGACTTGGCAAGTTTATAACTTTTTTCTGATTAGACATCACGATAATAATCATGTCAAATTATGTTTATGTCATCTTCGATTCCTGAATCACTAGTTTTCATTCATTGTAATTTCACCAGTTTTATTTTGATCTAGGTCTTGAAGAAATATAGAGTCTAATTTTTATTGTTCTTGCCAATTCTTGAAGTATTGTGCCGTAAACTCGAAATAGTTTCGTTTACATATCTATTTATTAAAACTGAATCTTCAGAATTGTTAACAAGAAGATTGCCTTTCTTCAACAAAACTACCATGTTTCCCAATGCATAAATATTTAGTTGACAAAGTTTTGGCATCGTACAAGAACTGAAAGAAAATAAAAAGTAGATACCTCGATATTTCCAACAAAATTTGGTATTGCTTGAGATACATGTCCTAAAAGTTATTTTGCGATGAAACTCATTATAAATTAATATAAATTTCGAGAAAAATAAAACACTTTTTCCATTTATTCAGAAAAAATTGCCTGATGTCTTCAAATTTTTATGTTTGTTGAATTGTTAACATAAAAGTGATGTTAACTATCAGTGAAAGAGCTTAAATATCAATTAGAAATGCATACCAGAACTTCAGAAAACACATTCTGCCAACAATTCAAGAAGACACTGAGACAAGCGCACGTCTGAAATTCATTATAAATTCGGAGTTCCACACGGTTCAATTTTGGGTACAGTTATATTGAGATATGCGCCGAAGACTTAATAATACTTTATATTTCTATGGGTCCTATATCATTAATTTATGTCATTACATTGCTGACCTTTTGGTTGAATTATCATAAACAAAAAGAATTTGACTTTCACCAACAAATATTCAAAAATATAAAATTCTCAAGACTTTGTATTGATTTTTAGGATCTTTTAGAAAACCAATCCATTTCTCAATTGAAAACATGTTTCATTCATTCTGTGTTAAAAAATACAAATATTCAACTTTGAATTTCAGTTGAATGCATACCATCCATGATTATAATATAAGATTCAGGGAGAAATTGTTATTTCAATTAGATGTTAACGTATATAACAATCTTCCAGAGAAATTAAAAATAAATCAAAATACAACAAAATTCAAATCTTCCTCTTAATGAAATTTCAATTTCCATTTTACCTTTTTTGTTTTTGACTGTTGTTACAATTTGATTATTTATATCTGCTGTACAGTTCATTGAAATACTTTATTCAATTACTACTTTCTTCTTCTGTTTTTCATTGGTATTATTGATGAATATTATTATCATTATTTTTTTTTCTCCAAAGAGTGAGCTGGTCAAGTCCTGTTTCTGAAGCTTTGACACATTCGGGAAGGTGCACCAGCATTATTAACCAATGACCACTCCCCACACCGTGAGGTAAGTGATGATTGGGTCAGAGAATCATCTGCCCTGAGCACATGCAATATGATGATCTTGAAATTCGAGAGTGGAGAGAGTATCATTCCACCAAAGACTCCAATAATCGGAACAACCATCTTGACAGAGTGTTCTGCTGGTCGAAAAGAAGTACATGAGGTTCATCAACTTTTATGGGCCTGAGGGTGGGGAATGAATAGTTCTAATAAATTCGGCACTTCTCTCCACAACCGGATTCAATATCCCCCCGGAGCGTAGGGCAACACCGGTTTCTTGTCAATACTGTAAAAGTGCCTAAGTATGTAATGAAGCACTCTTAGGGCCACACTGAGTCAATGGATATAAGCTGATACCGCATATGCTGGACATGCTGACAGTGGATTCTCTCTCTCACCCTCTCTCTTTCATTTCGTATGATAGATAATCAAATTAAAAATTTTTGAAGTGACAGGCGAACGCATTGATAGGAAAAAATCCACAATAAGTTTCTTCAGAGCAACTAGGAAATTAACTTCAATTGCATGGATATAATCATATGGACAGGAGAAACCCCAGTTTTGTAGTGAAAATGTCAGTCTTTGGACTGAAGATGCCAACGTGTCGATGAAACGTTGAGACATATTTACTCAATCGACGATCAAAATAGTGTAACTGAAGTGATTTCTAAACAATTCAATAAAAAAAAATAACTCTTTGGGAAATGACAAGTATACAAAGATTCAATAGTGCAAATAAAAAATAAAATGCAGATTATTCAAACAGAATGAACTGAATAATAAATTAGTATAAAGACTAACTGAATAAAAAATGTCATTGTACCAAGAAGGTATTACAATATAATACTGACAACTGACGCTGACAAAGATCTTAGATTTTGGTAGCTTCCCTACCTTGATATTAGCTTTAAACTGAAATCAGGCCTTATTTCTGAAATATGGTTTGTTTTAATCATCTCTAGTTGATCATTCAAAATGAGTTCATCGCGATTGTTAGAAAATCATCTGACAGTAACCCCATTTATAGTTATGACATTGCCGTTTGTCCTTCCCACGGGTTCAGGCTCATATTCGCCGCTACTTCTTCTACCCGTTTCTTCGTACGGAGCGTCATACATGTTTTCTTCGTGGATATTTTCATAAACATTCGGTGTTATGGGAGTATTCGTATATCCGTTTCCATTTAGAGTTGAGTAGCTCATCACAGCCGCATTTCTGTCTTCCTTTCTCTCAGCACCTTCCACGTTCTCGGTATTTTTTACTGCAACAGGTTTTCTCCTGAAATCAAAAGGTGAATGAATTTTATTCCAGATTTTTGACAGAAATCATCATTGTTACAAAAAAAACAAGAGCTTTGTGGAAATCAATTGGAAACAATCTATGGAAGAATATTGAACATTGTAATTCCGGACCTGTCTGTTTTAAGACAGACATTGATAAAGCGATAAATTCACAATCCAAGGGTATATCACATTTGATATTTTTATAGCGCTTCATTTGAAATAACTACCATCATTAGTGACAACAATTTCAAATTACGGTCCTGTTGTTACTTCTTTTGTAAATTATTTTGATTTCTTCAAAATGTAATTCAAACAACCCAATAAATTCGACAGGTAGGTATCCTAACACAATGAAAATTTGCACTTTTTCGTTTTGGAAATTTTTGTATTGCCGTAATCCTTCTTTCAAAGATTGTTTCTCCCTAATTAATTATAATTTCTAATATTTTTATAATTCTCAGTCCTGGAAGTAACGAAAATATAAGTTTTTGGTCAAAATTCGATTGTTGTATAATTTGGTATGATCAAATGGCATCTCATTTACCATCTTAAAGGCGTAGGCTTTGCTTGGTTTCTATGGCAGAAAAAATGAATGCGTGTTGATATCTGTTGAGAACTGTCGGACGTTTATTCACATATCAAAGATGTATTCAAATGATGAAAGGACTGATTTGGTATTTAGTTATGCAAAATCAAATAGAAATCCTCATTTGGCAAGAAATATGTATGTTGAGCTATCCTCGAATCGTTGTATTCCGAACATCCCAATGTTTAGACGATTAGAAAAAAAATTGAGGGACTACCTATGGTGCATTTGTCAGAAAGAAAACAAGAAAATGTGTGGTTACTGGAAGTGTGAGGAATCAAATAAATGTTATGGGTAAGCAAATATTACCACATAAAAATTTACACAGTGAAAACATCTTTTATCCACCAGAAGTATTTTGAAAAAGAACAAATATAAATGCTACAGGATTCGCTACAGGATTCATCACCTNAAGTAGTTGTTTCCGTAGGGCTTTTTCATTCATTTTGTGTTTGAAAGATACTTTATTGCATGAAATTGATTGCTTTCTTCTATTTTTTGGAAGATTCCCACATTTTTTGTTTGTGTCAAAACCTTTTTTTCTTGAAAACTTTGTCATTATTGATTGATAATTTGATCACAATATTTTTTCTTCTAATACTGATTGAATCGAAAATTGAAAACAATTTTTTTCTGATTTTTTCGAATTGTACACTTAATATTTTATTCAAGATGTAAGTCCTTCTACAAATACTCTTTTTAAAAAGATGGAGTTGAATAGGTAAATACCGAGCAGTTTGGAAGTTATAAACATTATTACATTGAACTTCTTCAGCAGAAAAATCAAGAACGAAATTTCAGATTGAAATTAGTTCTAGACGAATTATTGGATTATTAGGTGACCAACATTTTCGGGAATAACAAGTTGTTCGGGAGATTCAATCTTGATAAAGTTAAGATTGTTATTAAACTAATAACAAACATAAAATCCTCATCCAAAAATTATCAAAAAAAATGTTCCTCAACTATGTTTATGCCGAATTGATACGAAGTAGGTATAGAAACTATATAACTATAATATAACATAACGTTTGCTAAAAAATTGTCAATGTCTCAATCAAATTACTTTTCAACACTGAAGAAACATAATCATTCGAAATCTCCTTCTGAGAAAAATGACTTTTTCAAATGAAATTATGTTAGAAATTTGCTAAGTATCTACGAACCGTTAAGTTTGTGACATTATAATTCGTCAATTAAAACACAAAACATTACCAAAAAAACTCTTAGAATGAGTTTTTATTGAATCATTTTTACATAGATCTATTTTTGACGTTACTTTTGGAACAACTTCTGATCCATACAAACTCATATTTTTTAAAAGTACTTTTCTGGCGTAATTTTGAATAGCTTCTATTGGGTACTCTGTATTGTGGAGAATATTTTAAAAGAGTTCAATCTATTGATATCNTTCCTAGAATGAATAAAAGAAAAACTACTACTCCGGCTCCAATTCCTATGCTAGTTCCCATATTGGAAGAGTACTGAGGTTCCTCTGTAGCCACTGAAATCAATCAATTATTGCTCATTCCAAAGAAAGAAGAAAGTGAAAAGTATACAATATTTTTGAATAACTATACCGTCACTATTTTTCTTGCTCAAACAAATAAATAAATTACGAGTACCATGTGAATGTTTTGAACGTAGTTGAAAATTATTCAGAAATGAGTAAAACTATAAAAATTCGACGTCTGTTTCAGAGAATTTACACTTCAGGGGATAAAATAACTTACCTTTGCACATAGGCTTTTCACCGGACCATTCACCATTTTCCATACATTTCCTTAAATAAGGACCCGTTCTCACGAAGTTTGGTATACAGTGGTATTCGACAGCACTATTGTATATCGTACCATTTTCAATAATGATTCTGCCATTTTCAATAGAATCTGGATGACCACAATCAACAGCTGAAAACATTAAATTTTTTTGAGTGCGACTGGGTGATGAATATACCTAATTTGACTTGAAGAAGCGCCGCGGTCTTTTTCAGAGTTTTTTTTGTAACATTGACTTTTTTATATCAACAGAATAAATTCAAATAATAACCTACTATTATATTTGTCACTTGATCAAATGAATAAAATACATATGTTCTTGTAGTGGACGAAGTAGAAACTTTAGAAATCAAATGTGAAAATTTCGAATGGCAGCAGGTTTACGATATGATGAAATATCTATTTCGACGTATTTGAATACTCCCAAGTCCAAGAAAAATATAATTTATAGAATTTCAATCAACATAGTAAAAATATTTTCAGTATTTCTTGGTAGACCTCTTACTCGATATCTCGGCTTTTCATGAACTGATGTTGTTTTAAATTGGTCTTCAAAATACTGAAAAATAATTGAAAACTTATCCATTACTGTTTCACGAACCAACTCGAAAGTAACTGAAAAAGGACCATGAAAACTTAAAACCTGAACCAGAGTTGAATAGTATGGAAATTTGGTGGGACTGAATTTTTCCATAAACTTTTGGTAATTGTAATATATTAACATATTTTAAGTACTACAGAGTTTTAGAGAATCATCTGTGACACAAGAAGATAGTGAGAAATTGTTTTTAATCGAGCGATTATCAGGGCCGTAATAAAAAATTGATGAACTTCATTTTATCCAAACTCTCGGGATTATCGTAAAAACTTAAATATGAAAATATTATATGAACATTATCGATAGAACAATTGCTACAGAAACACAGGTCCGTAATTAAATTTTAATGTTGAGTGTGTCCCAAATCGGACGATAACCTATATATAAAAGAATTACAATCAGTTTCTGATAGTCCACTGAATGTATAAACAGTTTCGCAATGCGAGTATTTCTTAAAATTAAGAAGACACAGCAACATATAT